ACCTCTTAACACCCCACTTAAAAAATCCAAACTGTCCCTTTAAAAAATGTTTGAGACACTGTAGGTTACCTATCACAGCTAACAATGTGTGAAGTTAATTTATTTATTAAGCTGTGTTACACTAATGTAATAATGCAGCTGCATCATTAGCAAGAGAGTCTTACTCTTAAGTCAGACCCCACAAGAAGTCGCAAGATTTTAGTAGTGTGGCAGGATGATTGTTCAGGCAGGAAGGAAGAAAAATCAAAATTCTGTTTTTCAGACTTTTCTCTAATATTTGCTTTTACAGTGTGAAATACTGTAGTTTTCGCCATTCAGGCCCTTAAAAGGTTTTAACTCACAACTTTAAAGACATGCAACCTATGACAAGGGGTTGCAAGGAGATTTTCCATATATCAAAGGACAGGTTCACAAGTTTTTTAAGTCTGCCTTAAAACAAGTCATGTGCCCATGGAAAACATTTTTGTTGTGTTCATTCTTCCTGTTCATAACAACCATTAAGAGTCCAATGTGAACCTATACGGTAACAGGAAACAAACAAAGACAGTCAGGAAACACTGCTTTAAGTCTATGAAATTCCCAAAGACACTTCAATGCAGCAACAATGGCATTGAATGATCATTTAAATTCGTGAGGTAGGTTACAAAAGAGATGTGACTGTTTGCTAGGATGGATTGCACATCTTAAAGTATATCAAGTAATTGTGGCATAAAAATCAAATATAAGCAGAGGTTCAGTTTTGACCATGGAAAAAGCAGCTGACTACTCAACTCAACTCAGGGTCCATTTAGTAGCTGACCCAGAGCTCTCAATCATACCACATGATCGGAGTTTGCTCAGCTCTCATGGAATTTTAGATGTTGACTTAGAAGTTAAGTTTTAAACATAGACTGTGTAAAATAATAGACGTAGCCACCGTGACGTCAGACGTTGCTTTGTGGACAACCATTATGAGTTTGGCTTTTTGGCTGTCACCACCTTGTTTTTTTGGAGCTAGAAGTGACCATGTTTGGACAAGAGGATGGATCTGATATGCATTGCTCCACCTCTATCTTCCATCATGATCACCATCCTGATTGACAGGTCATCGTTGTAGCAACTATTCCATCACAAGGTAGTCACGCCCTAATGCATAATTTACAAAATGAACATCATGCTGTATTGACAAACACTTGAAATTAGTGACTGAGAACATAAACTTGTTAGGAAAATGTTTACTGATGTAATAAATTAAGTGAGAAGTATGATCATTTTCTTAGAGACTTCTACACAATCAGACTTTTGAAAGCAGTGGAGTCGCCCTCTGGTGGCCATTAGAAACATGCAGGTTTAAGGCATTCCTGCATTGGCTTTATTTTTCAGACCTGGAGGCTATGTCTACTTTTTTATGGTTTGTGGTTTTAAAGTTCATTATTGACCTTGGAAACAGCAGTTAACAAATAATAATAGCACCTCAAGGTCTATTATTTATGGAATATAAAGGAAATTTCAAAAGCTACAATTCCATGACAACTGAGAAAACATCATCTAAAATAAAGTGCTGTTGCTGCCTGGAAGGAAGGAAATCAATGTAAAAACCTGCAGTATTTTTAAGAAGAACACCCCCCTCCCCATTAATCAAATAATCATTAAAAAAATTGTAATAACTATGAAAGAACACATAAGTTGAAAGTGAAAAGTTTCCCCATAGCTTCACAGACGTATCTCATGTAACTGCAGCCATTGATGAACTCTGAAATTCGGTCTAACCCTGTTGGCTTCCTGCCCAGTGGACACAGGAAATGATGTGATGTGTCATGTCTGTGGAATCTCCCACAGCGGTGTCCCATTGGTCCGCAAGTTGTTTATCCTGCACTGAGGATGATGGGTCAGCGTCTCGTGATCTCAAAACCATCCCTGTGTGACAATGAAGCTGCAGGGAATGGAAGTGCCTGATGTTGCATAATTTTGTTGTTTGTTTGGTCTGTGGAGCTTTTAGGGATAATGTCTCCCTCTATCCTTTACACACACAGACATACACACACACACACACACACACACACACACACACACACACACACACACACTTACCGTCCCAGCTTATTTGGTTTGTGTATGTCTGACAGCAAGATCCTCCACTGATGCTATTAAGACTTGAAACATGAGGAGACTTTAAAGGAGAGGAAGGCGGAGGGGAGAAACGTTTATTTTTTAGCCGTTATTTTTCTACATTGACCTGAATGTATATTTATTCTTTAGAGACACCTGTGTATTTGTCGTGCAGACGAATGAACAGAATAGTTTTTATACTGTTTGTGATAACCACTGAGCTGATGATGCCATATCTAAAAGTACTGACGCGACAAAACAAGCACTTGGAATTGACGTCGCCCAATGTGGTCGCTTGTGCTGCTTCCGTCCACCACCGAGCGAAGGACCTTGCACTTTATTGTGATGTAAACCTGCACATTACCTGCTCCAGTCTATCAAGTGTCATTGTGTATAGAATATTTCTATGGTGATACTAAAATAAATGTTGCTCATGTTTAATATCATTTTAATCACTTTGTTCGGTTGCTTATTGATGCACCAGATACTTTTTCTCTAGTTACTAATGGATGCAGTTGGATGCATTAAAATCTTGTATTGTACTATATTTTAAGATAAGAGGCAGAAGTGCAGAAGGGATCCAAAGAAAATATTGATGATGCCAGAGAAGATCTGTAAGATTTACCCCTCCTCACCCTAACAATTTTCATACATGTGTGTTTTTTTTCAGTTACCTTAGAATGAGCCATTTATGTCCAAATACAGAGCGGGTCCTCCTCCATGTAGTTTGAGTGGGTGGAAGTTCGCTGCAAAGATCAGCCTCTCATTGGGCGGAACGAGCCACTCGCTGAAAGTCCCGCCCTACCACCTCCGGTTGTGTAGCAGTTTTCAACACGTCCTTTACTAACTTTTGCGGTGTTTGATCTTGCGGGGATGTAGCCATTTTTCTGCCATGGTTTGCGTCCTGTAGGCGATATTTTTGTGGGCGTGTTACACCAAAACCTGTTTCCCCCGGCAATATTTTTGCAAGCCCGCCGTTGCTGTGGCACCACCAAGAACGATTGTGATTGGTTGAAAGAAATACAAGCAGCCGGGGTGTTTTTTTCTCCAATCTTAAAGTGAGAGTCAGCCCAGCCAGACCTTTCTTTTCTTGAGAAAGGTCTGGTGAGCAAGACTATCCTCCATGGAGTCCAACATGTTTCTACAGTAGCCCAGAACAGACAAAACAAACACTGGCAAACACTGGCCGTCCAGGAGGCATCCTGATCAGATGCCTGAACCACCTCAGCTGACACCTTTCGACTTGAAGGAGCAGTGGCTCTATTCCGAGCTCCCTCCCGATGTCAAAGCTCCATACCCTATCTCTAAGGCTGAGCCCAGCCACCCCACGGTGGAAACTTATCTGCGATCTCATTCTTTCGGTCACTACCCAGAGCTCACGACCATAGATGAGGGTTGGGACGTAGATGGACCAGTAAATTGAAAGCTTTGCCTGCCACTCAGCTCCCTCTTCACCACAAAAGTCTGGCACAGCACCTACACTGCAGAAGCTGCACCAAACCGCCGATCCATCTTGTGCTTCATTCTACCCTCACCTGTGAACAAGACCCCAAGATACTTGAACTCCTTCACTTGAGGGAATAACTCTTTCCCAACCCAAAGAGTGCAATCCACCATTTTCCTGCAGAGAACCATGGCCTCAGATTTGGAGGTGCTGACTCTCATCCCAACCACTTCACACTCGGCTGCAAACCGCCCCAGTGCTGGAGGTCACGGTGTGACAAAGCCAACAGAACCACATCATCTGCGAAAAGCAGAGACGCAATTCTGAAGTCCCCAAACCGTATCCCTTCCTCCCCCCTGGCTGCGCATCGAGATCCTGTCCATGAATATCACAAACAGGATCAGTGACAAGGGACAGCCCCGGAGGAGGCCAACACCCACCACGAACATGTCTGACTTTACACCGAGTATGTGGATGTAGCTCTCACTTTGGTCATACAGGGAACGGATGTCCCATAGCAGAGGAGACTTCTGCAGATAATTGGAGAAGTGGAGAAATTTCAGCTGGGTGTAATCGACAATCTTCACCACTAGACGCCAGTGAAGTCCCCTGTATCTTACACATTGGACCTTTAAATGATAGCCTGAACAAGACTGGGTCTTAAAGGTTAGTGTCTTAAAAATCATCAACACTTTTTTTTATTGTGACCAAGGTACATGCTGAGTGGAACGTTTAGAGAAAACTTGTCAGTGTTCTCTGGTGGACAAACTACAAGGGAGACACTAATATTTTTTTAATAAGGGTGCGACGTGACATCCGTCTAGATCAATTTATCAATTAAGCGATCAAAAATCCAATATTTCCGATGCAACATGAAAACATCGATACATATAGTCATGTTAAAGATACGCCTTTTTATTTTGAAACCGCCATGACACATCTCTCAGTATTTCTGTCACACCTCCTCCCTAAACGCTCGAATTGTGTTAGCGCCCTAGTGCCAGGCAGATAGTGCTAAGCAGCCAAGAATCAGACAATGGGGTTATTTATTGATATAGTCTCATATTGATCACGGGCCTGAGTTGAATCAAATTGATTTTGTATCGTGGCACACTTTGTGAAATCAGCAGGTATTGTATCGTTGTCCAAAGAAACCAATATATCCTGTTGTGGTAAAAGTTGTGATGTACTCCCCTAGTTTGTAAATGACCTCAGTTTCATGTGACTGTACTGCAGTTTCGGTATTTGTTGGCTGACAACTGATAACTCTGCAACAAGCCACTATCAGCTGATATATCAGCCTGGCAGAGTTATTGTGCTGGGTCTAATTTATTGATTTCATCATTAAAAAGTTTAACATTTTGAGACTTTTCCTGAATCTACAAACACTATGAATTTCCATCAAATGATGCTCAAATATGTGTGAAATATTTTATATTCATGTGACAAAAGAGGCAACAGCTGAGTATTTTTCCAATGGTACAAACATACTTTATTGTACAATTAATTTATTGGCAAAAAACAATCAGACCACCAAAATAACTTAAAAAAAAAAAGAAACTAATGAAAATGGAGCAACAGTTATTTTTGCTTTCTCTCAGCAAGCACCAAAATTGTTAACAAGAGGAACGAAAAAGTGGTCAAAGATTCCATTTGAATACTAAACAAATATTTAAATAGTCTTATTTCCAGTCTCTTTTTAGGAGAAGAAATGATTAAAACAAAACTATTTGTTCAGTTGCCATCAGTTTGTACAGTGATTCAGTATGTTTACAACTATATTCATGTACATGAAACATTTCTTAAAAAGGATGGTATAATATACTCCACGGCCTCCCCAGAGCAAACTGAATGACTGTCTGCAGTGTCTTTTTGCATCACCATAACATCTTTAATACAAAACAAAACATGTTTTTATCTAATAATTCCTGTAGCTTCAAGTTTTATTTCCAAAAAATAAAATTAAATAATATATCTATATATAAAAGACAGTTTTTCCTTGTTTTTTTTTCTTATAAAATAAGTCTCAAGATATATTGCCACCTGGTTCTGATGCATCCCCTCCCCATACCCAGCAAGCCCAACCTTTTGAGAAAAATAGTGAGCATGTGAATATTGTGTCTTCAGTCCTCTCCATAAAAAGCTAAATGACCAAATTTAAACTCTTCCGGATCACACCTCTAATCAACCCCGTCTCAGCTCTACTTCGTGCAGGTTCTAACTTTTGAGATTGTTCAGGTGTGACTTGTTGCGATAACCCCTCCCTCCCTAAAACCTTGTCAAAAATACACAGAAAAAGGCGCATTGGTGCTTGTGACCTACTACACCCCATACTGTACCTTTTAGAAAAGAATCTCAATACTGTACAGTAGCTCAGGAGTACTTTTTTAAACAGATACAGCAAATATCCAATCAAACAAGAGGGGAAACAAGCAGCAGAAAACAATTCCTCTGCTCATATTAAGGTTTTAAAGTATATACAGTTGTGGTTTTTTTTACACCTTTCACTTTCATTACAAAAACAGTATCTAAGTCCACCATTTCTTACTTTGTACAGTACTAACATTGAATTAAATCTTGTGGCTGAGGGGCAGTCATGAGGATGAGGAACAAAAGGGAAACCGTTGAGGGAGTTGAAGATACAGGCAGGATTTTCGTAAACTCTGCAGCCCAAAAAACGTTATCGACCTCTTCTCAGCATCACAGTTCAGAACAAGGTTGTAATATATGTACACGCACAACCTTTTAACATCGGCCAGCTTGAAACAGAAGCTAGACGATCAGACATCAACAGTTCATCCCTCCGTTTCCTGCAAGGGGAGGGTGGGGGTGAGGGTAAGAAAGGTGTGCACATTCATAGGAGAACTGAAGATGGAGGATGGAGAGGTGGCCCAACAATTTGTTCTGCGGATCTGGCAACATACAAATATGACCAAACCCACGGTCAGTGTCACCCGCTCCCCGAAACACTGTTGAGGTTTTAATTCCAACCTATAAACCCTGTCAAAAACAAACAAAAACAACTAGGAAACCTGTCAAACTCAAACTGCATTGAACACACCCTCCCACCCACCTCATCGTATAAAATAAATTCTATATATGTGAATTGTTGCAGTCGCTGTAAAATGTACATTGCTGTGAAAACTGTCCAGAAAAAGATTCCTGTAACAGAAGATATGTTGATGCTTGTATTACAATCCATTGAGGGAGAAAAAAATAATAATAAATTCAGAAATAAAATATACTTAACTCTCTGCAAAATAGATACCATTATGACTGGGTATTTGAGGAGGAAAACAAAAACAATTAAAAAAAAAAAAAAAAGGTACATCGTGTCAACTCACTTTTAATTTTTAGCCACATTTAAAATCTTAAAAATATTCATAAAAAGGCAAAATTCTCAGTCCCCAAAAATATTGTGTCATAGACTAAGGAAGAAATATCTTCAACCTGAAACACTGCCCTTCCACCTTTTTGTACACAATTGGCAAAAATATATAGATATATATTAACAGCAATAACTTACCATTGTTTTAATTTATTCATTTATTGACTTCTAAGATTTATGTTGCATCTCCCATAGGAAGGAAGCTTCAGTTCGTATTTATACATCACAAAAATATTTAAATAAAAATAAAAACTTCTAAAACCCCAAAGCAGTAGTCCCCACCTCGCTCTCCTTTCATGGCAGTTTGTCATTTGGGGCAACTGATCAGAGCATCAAGACAGAGAGACAGTATGGAGTCAAGGCTACATAAGGTCTAAACTGCTGTGGTTAATGTTCGTCCCCAGCTCCTGGTTGTTGTCGCTGCTGTTATTATTCCCGCCCAACATGTCCGACTGTCCCCCCTGTACGCCGTGCATCCCTGTCATCCCACTCAGCTGGGACATGATGGAGTTCTGGTCTGAGCTGAACTGCCCAGGATCTACAGAGTTACCCGGCTGCTGCTGAGCTAACGCTTGCTGCTGGGGTTGTGGAGGTTGGGGCGGCGCCATACTGGGGTGATGTTGGCCGAGATGACCTGGGTGGGGTGAGCCGGTCTGGGTCTGCGGGGAGATGCGGTGAGGTGAGGGCTGAGGCTGAGGTTGGGAGGAGGGCTGCATGCGTGGGGACGGGCTGGAGTGGGGAGGTTGTGACTGCGGCCTTGGCGAGGGCTGAGGCGACCTGACCTGACTGCTGAGCGACCCGGCAGGACCAAGTCCTCCCTGTCCTTGGAGGTGGGGGTGGGGGGACTGCGCCAGCTGCTGTTGGGGACTCATGGGACTGCTGTGCTGGGCTGGAGAGCCCCCACCAAGATGCTGCTGCTGCAGGAGCCTCTGGTGGATGTTCGGATGAAGCATACCTTGGGATGTCTGCTGCAGTGGAGGCCCGCCACCTCCTCCACCTTGCTGCTGCTGCCCCTGCCCTGGTCCGCCTTGTCCAGGTTGGAGCGGGGGTCCTCCTGGTCCTCCAGTACCTCCACCGGGCCCTCCATCTTGTCCTTGAAGACCACCCATTGAATTCTGCTGCTGCTGCTGCTGTTGCTGTTGTTGCTGCATCTGCATCTGATGCTGGAGCCTTTGCTGGATCGCTGCAGCTACTTGTGACATGGAGTTGGAGTAGTTTTGCTGCTGACCTAGCTGTCCTGGCCCACCCTGTGGTCCTCCCTGCTGCTGCTGGGGACCGCCTCCACCTCCAGACTGAGGTTGGGAAGGGGGTATCCCTTGCCCTCCCTGGCCAGGCTGCATGAAACCTTGCTGGCCTGGCTGCTGCTGCTGGAGTCCTTGAGCCTGCTGGAACTGCCCATGGTTTCCCATCTGTTGTTGTTGTTGTTGTTGCTGCTGCTGCTGCTGCTGTTGCTGCTGCTGCTGTTGTTGTTGTTGCTGCTGCTGCAGGTGTCTTCTCAACAACAGCTCTCTGAACTGCGGGGTCATGTTGGTAATGTTGCCTTGTTGCCCTGCTTGCATTGCTCCCTGCTGCTGCTGCTGTTGTTGTTGCTGCTGCTGCTGTAATGCAGCCATTTGCTGTAGATTCCCAGGCAACATTGGTCGCTGCTGCTGTTGTTGTTGTTGCTGTTGTAACTGCTGAATCTGAGCCATGGTGGGCATGTTCCCTCCCCCTGCTCCACCCTGAGTCATGTTCATCCCTGGCTGGCCTGGCTGGTTCACATTAACCTGCTGTTGTCCATCCATGTTAGCAAGCTGGTTAGGCCCGGGCCCTCCTACACCAGAAAGCACTCCAGCAGCCCCTTGGAACCTCACACCTCCAGGGGCCGCTTGTGGAGGCCCTCCTGGTCCTCCAGGGCCGCCCTGACCACCCTGATACCTGGCTGCTCTCTGCCTGATAAAAGCAGCCATAAGGGTGGGGTTGGAGCGCAGGATGTTGAGGACTTGCTGCTGTTGGAGGGGTGAGCTTGGAGACCGCAGTGTTCTCAGGAGGTCTTGTAGTGCTGCCTGTGGAAGGTTTCCTGATGCAGCTGCAGCTGCTATTGGATTGGGTGCCCCTGCTGCCCCACCTGATACACCCATTACCTGCATCAGCCCGCGGTTTCCTGGTTGCGGCTGTTGCTGATTCATTGGCTGCTGCTGTTGCTGAGCGACTGCTGGCTGCTGCTGTGGTGCCATGTGACCCATCATGCCTGGCCTTTGTTGTGAGTTCATGGCTGGTCCGCCAGCACCCCACTGCTGGTTTGCTGGCTGAAGTTGGCCACCACCTGCCTGCTGGACTTGCTGGAGCTGCTGCTGCACTTGTGGTGGCAGCTGTGACTGAGGGCCACCTTGCTGCATCCCCGCCAGCATTCCCTGCTGCTGTGGGTCTAACATAGTCCTGCCAACAACTCCCTGAGCCTGAGGGGGCATGCCCTGGGCCCCAATGTGGGGCATGCCCATCTGGGCCTGGGGGTTCTGGTGGTGAGGATGTGAGGGTATCATGCCCCCCTGTCCCAAGCCACGTATCTGGGCTTGAGCCTGGGCCTGAGCCATCTGTCTCTGGGTCTCTGCTAGACGCTGGATTTTTAGGGCTGTCTCTACAGCAGCCAGAGGGGGCCCTTGCTGCTGGCCTTGCATGGACCCCTGGCCCTGGCTGGGTTGTTGCTGCTGCTGGGGTGGTGTGGCTGGACCCAGTCCAGGTTTGCCCAGGGACTGGTGGAGAGGAGAAGCCCCAGGTGGTCTGGGGTTGTATGGAGGCAAACCACCAGGGTGCTGCTGTTGCTGCTGCTGGACATTAGGAGGCTGCTGCTGGAGCTGAGGCACCATCTGCTGCTGAGGAGAGTTCATCATCCCCCCTCCACCTCCTCCAGCCACTGGCTGAAACTGATGAAGATGGTGTTGAGGGGGGATGGCACCACCCTGCTGCTGAACCTGCTGCTGTTGGCCTGGGGTTCCCATTCCCCCCATTCCACCCATCCCAACTCCCTGTTGCTGAGGAAGTGCAGGCATGTTTGCCTGAGTGGGTGTCTGTGGGGTGGGAGGCTGTGTGCCTACAGATGTAGGAGTACCAGGACCAGTTGCTCCATTGTTGGCTCCTGGAGAAGGCAGGCCATTGCCCCCAGGAGCTCCTCCAGGAGCAGGCTGGCCCACTCTCTGCATGCTGGCCATCCTCCTTCTTAGCATCTGAGCTTGCTGGAGTCTGTGCTGCAGCTGCTGCTGGCGGAGCTTGTGCTTGATGTTTAGGCAGAACGGAACTGGGCACTTGTTCTCCTGACAGTGCTTAGCATGGTAGCAACACAATGCGATAAGCTGCTTGCAGATGGGGCAGCCACCGTTGGTTTTTCTCTTGCAGCTTTTTGTGTGCTGAACGACGCGTTTCATCTTCTGGCAGGACGGCAGAGAGCAGTTTGCGTTTCGACACTGGCAGGCGTGGACGAGGGACTGGATGCAGCGCTGGATGCTGAGGCGACGAGAGTCTCCAGGGCTCTGAGTGGTTGCGGCTGCCTGGTTGCTGCTCTCATCATCCAAACCAAGGCCTAACTTCTCCATCTTGTGGACGTGGCCCTTAGTGTTGTAACATGTGATACACAGGTCGTAATCCTGTAGGGATGGATAAGTGACAGGTTTAGTGGTGACATGCAGCAGGTTTTATATTAACATAATAAATCCAGTAACTCAAATATCATCTTTTATTATCAATTGTTACCATAAAGCAGACCCAGCCAAACAACTCTTCCCCAACTCACCTCACAGACGGTACAGTGGAAACGAGTCTCCACGTGGTGCTTGCACTCATTACAAGTGTAGACGAAGCGGTCTTGGCTTTGGTTATGCAACTCCACCAACATGCACATAGAGCTCCACATGGACCTCCTCAGTGAGCTGAACTCCAGGTGTTTGTCTCGGGCCAATGTCAGAAAGGCATCACGACCATCCATGAGGTCGCATGCCATCAGGGGATCTGGGTCTGATATAGGGGGCAAGGCATTTGCCATTGGTGCTGCAATCAGCCGGATCACAAAGAACACCTACGACAGGAAAAAGAGGGGCAAACAGATGAAAACATATTCAGCTTTTTGAACTCAGAGTAAAATCTGAAAAATTAAGTCAATATTTCCGGTCCTCTCACTCCACTCCTTCAGTAAGTTGCTTGAGAGTGATAAGACGCTGGCACGTAAGAATGATA